CAGGAATGAATAATTTAATCTAAATTCAATAAAATGAAAATCAACAACTAGATTTTTGTCTATACAGAAATTCAGAGATAGTTAAAAGCAGATAATCTAAGCATCACGACTGTGAAAATACATACATTCTAAATTTTCCCCAGCCAGCACAGTAGAAAATGTTATCCATGACAAAAAAAAAAACTCGCTCAAAGTCGGTGAATAAACTCCAATTACCTCTAAGCACCAATCAATATATAAGCCAGCGACAAATATGAAAATTATGAAACACTACAGCAAATTATGGTACAAAATTTGCCCAATTCTAGTGTCAGTACTGGTACGAACCTTGTGAAACGACATTCTGGTATGAACCTTGCTGGGAATTCATGTTTTGGTACGGGGCTTGCAGGGAATTCATGTTTTGGTACGGGGCTTGCTGAGTATTCGTGTTCTGGTACGGCATTTGTGGGGTATTCATGTTCTGGTAGTGCGTCGTTTGTGGGGTATTCATGTTCTGATAGGGGTTTTGCGGAGTGTTGATATTTGGATACGTGTTTTGCTGAGTATTGAAGTTTTGATAGGAACCTTGAGGAGGATTGATTTTTTGTCCACTTGAAGAAATGTAGGACTGAAGAATATTTTGGGCAGCATTCAAATGCTCAGAAGACCCGTGAATCTCAACGACACATTCAGAACCACCTGATTGAGGATCTTGGAGCTTCAACCTCCTTCCGGCAATCTGGATATTAAAGAAAAGGAATTAGCAATCCTTCCATGACTAAAGCTATAAATACGAGAAGACTTCCACTAAATGTGAAATAGATGAAATATCCAGCTTAATGATTATCTCAATAATCAAAGGCACGGATGAATCCCAACTGAAATGGAATGCTGTTTTCTTTTTCGTTTTTCCATAGCATTTCCAAGCACAAATCCATCCCTTGTAATGGAGTGAGGATGACAATAAAAAGTAAAACTAAGATCAAAAAAGGGTCAACCAAACAGTTATTTGTACCACGTCACTTAAAAGCGCACCTCTAAATTGTTTTTTCCACTCACACTCAGTTCTATAATAGTTCAAATCCTCCTAACAGGCGAGTATGTTATGGTGATATGAAAGAAAGAAAAATAATCTTATTTCCTATTTTCTCCATAAAGCAGAAATGGGAAATCTACTTATTAAAAAGAAGGTCCATGGAAGGAAGAGTCAATGAGACCTATAGGCAATCAGTTTCACAAAATACAAATTTTCAGGGTACATCTTTTCTCAATCATTTCAGAGGTCAATGTGGAGAAACTTATTCAGAGGTCAATGAAGCAAGCTGAATAGAGATTAGAGGAAAATATACTTCTCACCACTCTCCTTGGCACATTTCTTAATCATTTCTAATAATTTTCCAGAAAACTACCCAAGTTTTCCTAAAAGATTGCAAAATATCCTGCAATTTTCCCCAAAAATTTACAAAAATGTCTCATGTTTATCATTTCTTGTGTGAAGTCTCATTTTAGGAAGGGGGGCTTCCTAATGATAACTGAAGGTTCCAGGTCACCAGGGCTAAATGAAGCCCCGTGCAAATTTTTAGAAGCCCCAACATTGGGGTTTGTTTAACCTAAATCTAATACTGTAGGGCTATTTCTCTCAGTAAAAGTTCCTTATGAAGTTGTGCAAATTACATTCTTTCATAATACAATCAAATTGTATTAAACACAGACCTCACTCGTGTTTTTTTTATCACCAACAAAGAACTTTATTGATAAATCAAAAGGGAACTGACCTCACTCATGTTGCTCCCTCCTCTTCCAACTACAGAACCTACGGCATTGTTTGGCATCTTCATAGCCATAGAACTGTTGATATTAGGATATCTGGAACATTCAAAGATATTATTACTTCTCTCAACCACACAACAGAACATGAAATTAGCATGGATGTTTTTAAAATAAAAAAATAAAAGAAACAGAATGAGCCAATACCCAGTAGTAGCACTTGGAGGAACTGGATAACTTGAATGTTCGTACTCATGTCCACCTCCCTTCACAACAGCATCAACAATGTTTTAGTAACATGGCACGGACATTTCTTCAAAATCAGCGTAACCCAGAAGAGAAAGAATAAGCAACTAGTTCATTAGTTAGAACAATGAATCTATCATACAAGTCAAAAATAAGCCAGGGAAATAATCTCAAACAATCTAACACTTCTTGCCAAGTTGTGTCCTCGAAAAGACAACAATAAGAACATATGAAAATGTTCTAGATAACAGTATTACAATCAAATGATGGGGGTATCAATTTCCATCACTTGGTTGTGATTGCAATCCAAATAATACAAGATAAATGTTGCAGGCTTGAAACAAGAAATTTGAACCAACCACAATACTAACCTACTAAGCTTGAACTTTATAATTACCACCAAAAGATTGAACTGTAGGGTGAGTTCGTTTGTTTTATGCGAAAACATGGTTTCACTGCACATGAATTAGTTACTATGTCCATGAATTATGTAACCATGTAATAAAAAAACTTGTGAAAGAAAGATTATAAATTTCATGTAAGCTATCTTAAAAATATATTCAAAGAAGTCCCAGCTCTTTTATAGCTTAACACATGCCAGACCACATGCCGCTGCTAGTAATGATAAGAAAAATCTGTTGTAGTTTCCAGTATGGATAACCCTACAGGACACATTGAGACTGCATATACTGCAACCACCTATTTCAGTAGAAGTGTATGATCTAAATCCAAATAACATAGTTGTTCACTAGGCATTAAACTTCACAATATTCATCAGCCATTATATTTCATAAATTTATTTGATGAGATGAAACAGTTCATCCTCTACACAAAATAGCATGCTTTTAGAGTCATTTGCTATCCAAGGGCAAAAACTAGTTTCAAAACACATGCAAACTCCAACATGTTTCTTTTTCAGACTTTATCATGAAGGCACAGAGCATATACAGCTACTACTAAATTTCAGCCAAATACACTTCCACAAACAAAAGATTTTATTAATAAACCAAGGTTGAACCCATCAAGTCATGCACTTCATACTACATCACGGGGAAATTCACAAGGGAGACTCTAAATGCAAACCAAAAATATTGTTGGACACCCCTCTCAAAGTTGATTTTGTTAAAGTTCTTTGACCATCCCAATTAATTCCAAATGTACCCCCCACACCTCAACCACCCATCGCTGCCAATGCCACTACCTCATTTCCCCTGTCCGACGCCCTCCACCCCCTACCCTCCCCAATGCCGACTGCCACATCCCGTCATGCACCTCATACTACATCAAGGGAAATTCGCAAGGGAGCTTCAAAATGCAACCTAAAAATATTGTTGGACACCCTCTCAAAATTAATTTTTTTTAATTTCTTTAAATGCCCAAATTAATTCCAACTCTGATCAGCTTCCATTCTCCTTCTCTAATAGGGAACGGTCGCAATGGGTGCTCTGTCACATAACCAGTTTGTCATCCCTACTCGTAGCATGCATTTAATACCATTCAGTGTGTTTGGTTTGGGTTTTCTGAATTAAGTTTTTTGAAAACTGAGTTTTTTAGTTTTCGTATTCTTTTGTTTTTAGTGAATATTTTTTAAATTTTAAACATTTTTTTTTTTTGCTTAAAATATTAAAAAAATTCAGTAAAAACAAAAAAATACGGAAAATAAGAAAGTAGAATTTTTTGAAAAGTGTTTTTTGAAAAATAAAAACAAGCAAGCTGATTTTTTTCCAATCCAGGGGATAAGTAAGGAAATAAATATGGAAGCACTTCTCTAAAGGTTATGAGAGCATGCAAGAATCAAGAAATCATGCATGAATACATAAAGCTAAGAGCACAATTATTTTCTTCTCAAAAAGTAAGAAGTAAAGTAAATTTTTACACCACTTTCCCACAACAATCTCTGGCAAGGCAAGTATCCACTGCTAGCGGATTATAATTCTTGCAATGTATTACTATAGACCAAACGAAGCAAAAGATAACATTGTTTATCTAAACTCAAAACTACCATTGTAATAAAGCAGTATTTAGAATTATAATCAATCTACAAACATGATTTAGTGATAATGAGTCTGCAACCAAAGCCAACTTTTGTAAGAAATCAAAACAATTTTTTTTTTTTATAAACAAATAATTGATCAAAGGGCTCAAGCATGATTATTGAAGGACATGATAGGATTGAACATTACACTTCGAATATAATATACCTGTGCAAATTCAAATCCACTAGAGCTACCAGGTCTTACGGGGCCAGACGGACGTGGCCCTCCACCAGGTAAACTGCCTGCAGGACCAAATCCCTTAACTGGCCCAACTGTAGCAGGTTCAGCTCCAGCATTGGCATCTCGCAGACATCGTGCTCTAAGTCTTGATGCAACTTCTGCCAGAGCATCTTTCGCTACACCAAAGTTTCCAGATATCTGAACTTATCAAGTGCATGGATCAGTATTATAGGAAGTATCTTCATATAAGCAAAAACAAGTGCAAGTATACATCCAGAAAAATCAAATTTCAACAAAATGACAGAAAGTAACTAGAATTAAATTAGCAAGCTGCAACCACTTAACCTGTACAAGCTCTTCATCATCGGCTGCACATTTGGGCTTATCTTCCTTGGAGTAAACACGTATGTCTGCCTGGGTTCTCCGTCTCATCTCATTGATTACATGACCTCCTTGTCCAAGAATGCAGCCAACCTTACTTGATGGAACAAGAAGTCTTGTAGTAAGATTTCCTTTTTCAGAGAATTCACTTGTTTTGTTTTGAAGCTGAAGAATGGCCTCAATAGTTTGTGATCTTGGGTTCCACAGGGCCTGAAACAATTGCAGTACAATGATTTACAGCTAGTGCATTGATAACAAAAAGAATCTAGAGATGGTAAATACAAAAAAGTTTGTTCAAAAGGGTGCTTATTAATTGAATGAAGAGATGCATAAGATATGTTTTAAACGTCTAAAGCCTAAACCTGAGGGTTTGGGGGCCGTAAATGAAAAAGAGAGAAGGGAAAAAAAGGTCAACCTCAAAAGAAGAAACACGAATCACACGTTCCTCCAACTCTGCCAATGCATCCTCGACATGAATACTAGCTCCTGTCTCCTGTTGTAACTGTTTTACGTTGAAGCCTCCCTTGCCAATGACTCCACCAATTTTCCCAGCTGAGCACAAGATCTTCAAAGAAAATTCACTTGGAACTTCACCACCGTGCATAGGAGGACCACCATCGAAACCACCTGGCCCAAATGGAGAAGGCTGGTTTCCATATCCTCCCATCCAAGGCATTTGTGGCATATCATGGGAGTTAGAATGCCGCTGAGACCACATAGGATTTCCTGGTGGGGGCATATTTGCCATAGGAGGACCAGGAGGATGAAAACCTTGGCCCCGATGGGGCATGGGGAAGCTCGAAGGAGGTTTGTCCTTTCTTGGATTCTGATGCAATAGAGTGGAAACTTCATAAAGGGCCCTCTTCGCAGCTGCTGGTTTTGCTGATATCTGTAGAATACATACCAATATCAAATATTTTCAACTGGGGATGACAAGGCAACAGAACTGTGCAATCCTTTCTTCTTTTGCCCCCGTTATGTTCAAAAAAAAATATGCAAATTTAATCTGCCAACTTAAAGCAACAGCTAATTAAAGTGACCAAAAATGTTAAAGAATTCCAACAAAATGAAACAGGAAGATCTTTTTTTTTTCTTTCTATATGTTATCCTCATGATTTTATTCCTTTTCTCGGCCAAGGACAGGAGATGAGAAGAAGCATAATTTGTATCTCACACCTCATCAGCATATTGCCCGTGATCATTTCGATAACCTTAAATCAATCAAATAAAATAGAACAGTTAATTGTGTCAACAAAATTATCAAACAGACATAATTTAGAAGTCTTTTTGGTTATTTTGTGTAGTTGGCTTTCAGGGAAGGTTTACGCCTGACCTAAAGCATCTTTTCGATTTACTGGATTCCTCTTCATTTGCAAGTGTTTTAAGCCTGTTGTGAGTATAGGCAATTTTTCTGCATAGGTTATCCTGGTTTAACCTTTTATATGAGTATGCCGCATGGCATTCCCTCTTGCTGTCATTTATTAATTATATTTTGCCATACTAATCAATAAAAATACTTCTGTATGACTTCTTGGCACGGCTATTTGTTTTGAAATTTCACTTTACCTTCTTTCATTATGAAATGTATTTTTTGGCATTTTTTAAAAAAGTAATTTGAAGCATGGTTATGCACTTTTACTTCTCTTATTTACACATCTGTCCTTTTTATTTTTTATTTTTATTATTTTATTTTTATAATTTTGCACAAGCACCAGGGGTTTAGGTATGTGTGTGAGCCAACAGTATGATATTATGGCACAGAAATTGATAGTGCAGTGCAACCATTTAAAGAAACTACAACCAGTTTTGCTTTGTAGGCATGGAGATGACCTTTTTGAGGGACTGATTATGGGCAAACAATGATATACAGAGATCATAATAAATGACAACATAAACTTTTGTCTTTCCAACAACCAACATAATAAGATTGATATGTGAATTCTTTATGCACAATTTTGGATGATTTTCTTCGAAGAACATGCCTAGTACTACATATGTATATGTATAAAAATGGCAAGGATGTCACCAACTTTTTGATCCAATATTACCTTCTCCAATAAGCATATGAGCAATATATATATATAGGAACATTTGAGTATTGACTACATAAAGGAGCTGCAGGACAAAAGAAATGATACCTGCACTAATTCATCAGTGCTCTCAGCACAGGAAGGAAGATGTTCTGCCGGAAGAACACGAATACTTGCGCCCGTATCACTTCGCAATCTCTGAATGACATCCCCTTTTTTTCCTAGAAGACATCCTACCATATTATTTGGAACAAGAAGGCGTGCAGTGACCGTGACTACATTTTCATTACCATCTTCATCTTCCATTCCACCAACAAGGTTTTCCTCAATAATTCTGTCATGAACTTTCAAGAGAGCATCTTGTGCCGGGCAATGTGGCTCCGTGGGATCACCTTCTTTGTCTGTGGCTGCATCCTGATCATCATCACTGTTGTGTTTTTCATAAATCTTTGTAGAAGGACTATATATGATTATCACTCTCTCATCTGATCCGGGGACAGAATCAGCAACCGTAATCTTTGCCAGGGTCTCTTCCCTAAGGGCTTGGACTATGCTTCCACCTTTTCCAATAACACTGCCAATCTTTCTAGAATGACAGAGTATCCGATAAACAGTATCTGAAGCGTTAGAATTTCCAAAAGATTGTTCACGACTAGAATTATGCCACTTTCCTTTTTTGTTGCCTCCCTTCTTCTTAAATTGTGGGTTAGGACGTTTCTTAAAATAGTGTAAATCAAGAAAATGGACTTTATGGAATAAAACTATACATACATGGGACTAAATGGGTTAAAAAATTCCTTCATGGACTTCTTGGGTTAAAACACTTCTAAATTGGACTTATCAATAAAAATCCCTAT